TGTGTGTGTGTGTGTGTGTGTGTATTTGTGTGTGTGAAATAGGCTAGACGGTTACAATAGTGCTTTTCAAATTCTGGTTTGAAATCCCTCAATTCAGGGTCCCTGAGTCCCTTGCATAATGTCCTTGAATAAAAGATCCTTTGAAAGGGCAAAGTGAATTTAATGTAAGAGACAGAGTTCATTGATATGGTTTCAGATTTCATATTGCAGCTGAACATTAAGAAACTACCACTTGTTAAGTTTTGATGTAGTTCAAAGAGGAATATCCACAATTATCTGAAAAGGCCATTACAATATTCAACCTTCTTCCAGCTATTCATCTGTGTGAGGCTGAATATTCTTCATGTACTTTTACCAAAACAGCATACTGCAACAGGTTGGACATAGAAGCAATATGAGAATCCATCTGTTTTCCAGGCAGACATTAACTAATATGTAGACAGTCATTAAAAAGATTGTAAAAATATAAAACAATACTACTTTTCTTATCTTTTGTTTTGTACAATATAGTTACTTTTCATTAAACTGTTATTTATGTAATCATAAGTGCTTTAAAATTAATTAGCAAACTTTAAAATTTTTTCTTAGTTTTGATTGTTAATATGGTAAGTATAGCTAGTTATACCCACGTAAACAAAAGATCATTGGGGTCCTCAGTAATTTTTTAAGAGTATATAAGAGTCCTGAGAACAAAAGTCTGAGAAGTGGTAGTTTAGAAGGAGACCAGAGTGTGGAAATCTGGCCAGCTAGCCTGGGGGTCTCAGTCTTTATCCAGGGTACTTTGGCTTAGTGACTAAGAGTTGTAATTCGTTTTAAATTCAGTTGCTAGGGTTGTGAACACAATATTGATGTCCTTTTGCAGTGCTACTTTTTCACTGTGGAGTTCGGTCTGTGTAAACAAGATGGGCAGCTAAGAGTCTTTGGAGCTGGATTACTTTCTTCTATCAGTGAACTCAAAGTAAGAACTGTAAATCTTTGCACATAACCATATTCACTTAATTTAATGGCTACAACCTGAAATAGTTTCTGGGTTTGAACAAGAGCTTACAATGGAAAATACTTGGGGTAACAGTAAATGTAATGAAAGAAACAATTTTTTCTATTTCCCAAGTTTATGGATACATCTTAAAAATAAAAAAGTATTTTAAAGCTTTGCTAACAAAACCTTGCTGTTTCCTCACCATTTTTGGTGTACCAGCAATAACTTCTGTAATTTCCAGAGAACTCTTTGAAATTTATTATTTATCCAATAAGGGAATGAACTGTAGAGTGATGGGTGTGCATAAAATACCATGCAAGGTACTGTCTTGCACTTGAAAGCCTACCACTGGGTGGTGGGTAGAGGTTATATATAGGAGTGACTACTGCAGGGTAGAAAGTAGGTGCCATAATGTAGGAGGAAATAAATAGAGATCCTTGGGTGTCTCCTACAAGGAGAAGAGTGTTAGAACAAAGCCAAGGAGATGATCTTGGGGCATTTGTGGAGAACAACAAGCCATTTTTGTTTTTCTGGAGCATATTGTGGGCTAAATAATGCTGTAGGAAGTAAGTTTGGGATTGTAGGTTTGGGCTCATAGATTAGTAATACATTCAGAGTTGTGCTGATTCTGGCCGTTGTGTTTTGAATGTGGGTTATGAAAATAGATAGTCTTCTTCAATTCACTGACCCTTTGTCATGTAGCATGCACTCTCTGGACATGCCAGTGTAAAGCCCTTTGATCCCAAGATTGCCTGCAAACAGGAATGTGTCATCACAACTTTTCAGGATGTGTACTTTATATCTGAAAGCTTTGAAGAGGCAAAGGAGAAGATGAGGTAAAGTATATCTCTCTGCAAAAGATAATCTAATACTGGTAACAAATCACAGAAGTAAGCAGCTGGATAATTAGAAGCCTACTAGGTACCTTTTGCCTCTAACACATACCCCTTTCACAGCAAATATTTAGAATATGTTGCTTATAATGATATTCAGTAGTGCATATATGAATCAGATACATTCAGAAATTGATTTCTTCCCATTCCTTCCCATCAGAGAGTTTATAATATGATAGGAAATAGGAAAAATAAACTATGTACAAAGTGCTCTATATCAACATAGAAAGTCTTAGAGATATACAGATGACCTATTGTTCTGCATTTTATTCAGGAGCAATTTATTCCACCTGAGAGAACAAGGAAAGCTTAATGGCATTGAGAAGGCACTGAAAGATAAATGAGGTTTAGATACATTGTTTTAGTCTAAGGGACAGCATATAAAAGTTAAGGAGGTACATTTGTGGAGTATAACAAGGAAGCAAACCGAAGCAACAAAACAGCAGCAGACTCAGAGACTCCAAGAAGGAACTAGTGGTTACCAAAGGGGAGGGGTGTAGAAGGATGGGTGGGGAGGGAGGGAGCGGTATTATGTTTAGTACACACGGTGTGGGGGATCATGGGGAGAACACTGGAGCACAGAGAAGGCAAATAGTGGATCTGTGGCATCTTGCTGCACTGATAGACAGTCACTGCATTGGGGTATGGGTGGGGACTTGATAATATGGGTAAATATAGTAACCACATTGTTTTTTCATGTGAAACATTCATAAGAGTGTATATCAATAATACCTTAATAAAAAATTTAAAAAATAAAAAATAAATAAACAAAACAAACAAACCAAAAAGACAAAATAAAAGTTAAGAAGGTGGAAAAATATAGGAGATATATGTGATGTAATCAAAGCTGTGCTTTATTAAACAGCTAAGTACATTGTTAAGAAAAGAGGATATTGGGGGCCGAGAAATGACTTAGGAGATCCTTGTAATACTTGTGGTAAAAATAAAAGCCTGAACTAAGATAGAGGTAGTAGGAAATGAAAGGACTATAGAAGCAGAAACAATAAAACAACATTTAATGGAAGGGGTCATGAGGTGCCATTGTGACAATGTAGGTAGGGGTTGAGGACATGCTGCTTGTTCTACAGAGATTTTCCTTTAGTTGGGGAGTTAGGCCATATACAGAACCAAAGAACAATTTCCATCTAGAGGAGGGCTTCCTCTAGCACATGTGGCACCTTTGAGTAAACTAGGAGAAGGGATCTCTTCTGGGTAGACCAGGTGGATAACAAACTGGATTTCAGCCCCTGTTCATGTACAGTTGTCCTTAGCTGTGTCTCTAGGGGTCCTGAACACAATTGTTCTTGGAGGTGCCAATTGAGAGGTCAAAATGTTGTCTTGATGAAGAAGGCAGAACTTTAATGCATGAAAAAAGGGTAAAATTTAGGTCATTTGAGAGAAAGCTAGAGAAAACCATTCAGTGCAGAAAGAATGTACGTATGTGGGAGGCAGGATTGTTCCTGGTCAGTTTCAGTAGTGTGTGTGTGTGTGTGTGTGTGTAGGTGTAGTTAGGTAAATCACAACTGAAGGATCTGTTACTATGTGGTCAAGTTTTGTCATTGTTTATTGATAAGCTACTGTGGCTGGTCTCCTTACTGTAGTCAAGAGATATATAAAGTTATTAGTCATTAATAAAGCCATCCACAGACTCTTTCCCTAGTGACACAGAGATAGATGTATCCATGACAATTTTAGGTTTTCTACCAGTTGAGGATTCCAGGGGGCCTCTGCACATGTACTGTAGGGAAGTAGGTAGATTGGTTGCATGAACTTTTTTGAAATTAAAGCATCATTGATATACAATCTTATGAAGGTTTCACATGACCAACACTGTGGTTTCAACATTCACCCATGTTATCAAGTCCTCACCCTCCCATTGCAGTCACTGTCTATCAGCGTATTATGATGCTATAGAGTCATTACTTGTCTTCTCTGTGCTGTACTGCCTTCCCTGTGACCTCCCTATATTGTGATTGGTTTCATGAACATTTAGTAATGATTTGTCTTTTGCCTAGTGTGTGAAGTAGATTTACAGATATTTATTTAGTTTTCATCATTTTCCCTATAGAAACTGATTGCCTCTTATTTGTTCTCTTAGAGAATTTACCAAGACAATTAAGCGTCCATTTGGAGTGAAGTATAATCCATATACGCAGAGTATTCAGATCTTGAAAGACACCAAGAGCATAACCAGTGCCATGAACGAGCTGCAGCATGAGCTCCATGTTGTCAGTGACGCCCTTGCTCAGGTCAGCAGGCAGCCGAGCACCTGACTGCTGCCAGTTCTAACCTCAAGAGCATCCGAGCATCAGTGCAGAGGCTTGTGGGCCACTTCTTGCTTTTCTTGAAGACCTGGTCGTGAAGGGACAGCAGCCAAACAATATTCTCTACTCTTGTTCCTTAATGGATTGTTAATCTGTGAAAATTTGTACTTGGATGTTCTAGCCATCACCAATTATTTTCTGTAGCAGTTTTAGTGAAATATGATTCAACATACCATGCAACTCACTGGCCACCCGTTTTTTACATACAGGAGTTGTTTGATCCAATGGGTAGATCTAGTCCCAGCCTGATTGTTTTCCCCAATCCATCTTGAGTAAAATGATTTTTATGATCACTTAAAACACCTTGCTGGGTATTATAGAACTGACCCATGCTGTTACCTAAGATCCTCTTATTTCTAAAGTATCTTACTTATAACCAAATTTTGCTAGGCTTAATCACATTTGCACCCCTGAATTTAATAGGAGACTAGCTGTCTCTTCTGCTAAAATCAGCAACAGAGGCCTTTGCACATGAAGCATACTTATTACAGAGCAAGTAATGTAGTTTCAATTGTAGTGTCTCGTAGGGAAATAGGAGTACCTAAATCAGGAAAGGCTGTGTAGGGTATAATCCTTAAGACCAGGCTAAGAATTTCGGGCTTTATTTTGCTGACAGTAGGGAGTGCCTTCCCCAGTGACCATCCTCCTTGAAACTCTTTCCTTTCTAAGGAATGGTATGATGCCAATGGAATTTTAGATTGTCTATTCTACTCATGGGGCCAAGGGAACTTGGTTGGGGTACCACATGCAAGACCCTGTACTCAGACATGCAGCCAGGTATCATATTGTGATGGGTGGGGTTCTGGTTAGCAGGAGACAGTGATGTCAAAGGGAGATTCAAACTGAGACAGATGAGAGAAGCACAGAGTTAAAGTTGGAAAAGCAGTGCTGAGCACTTTATTTCCAACCTATAAGGTGAGACCTAGTAAGGCAAGTTGTAAGGGTAAAGGGTAGGGAAACAGGCAATAGAACATAAGAAAGGTCAGGTAGAGCATTTTAGGACTGACACTGTAACAACGCAGGGGTTGCAAGGACTGGTTTTTATGTGGTGTCAACCATGTAGTGTAGGGCATAGGCCTGGGATAGGCCAGTGAAGTCGGATTACTGTGTACATGCTGTGCCTCTTTAATTGGCTCCTTTCCTTCTACCTCCCACTAAAGGAAGACTTTCCTCAAGTTTCTGAGTTTGGCCCTCCTCTCTTTCTGCCATTTTTCCATGGGAAATGCCATCCACATCCATGATTTCCATTCTTATTTCATATGACTTCCATATTTGCTATTCTGACTCTGACATATGTCTTGAATTTTTGTCTTCTAAGTCCAGCTATATGCTGGATATTTCAATGTAGATGTCCCATAAGCTAGGCCAGTGTGGTACAACTTCTTGTGGCACCATTCACATAGAATGAAATGGGGTTGTGTAATGAGGCAGCCTTGCCACATATCTCAAACTCAGTAGGTCCAAAAAGGAACTCAGAGTCACTTATTACACCCCATCAGCTTCCTCTCCTAGTGATCTCACTTCTATTCATGGTATACTAAGAGTCATAGTTTCAGACCATATTTCATTCTTAATCACCTATTTAATTGTGTCCTTTTTTCCCCACATCAATTCCCTATTAAATATTATTATTTATTAATATTATCCATTAATTGTATACCAGTTAATGTTTTATTTCAACAGAACTTCATAAAAAAACTAAGAAATTTATTTCATTTTATGTTATACAAGGAAATAGAATTGGGAAGAATAATTCATGCTACTTCAGATTTTTATATTTCTTATAAATTTTAATAGCTAGTCAACTATTAAGTATACCTTTGATAGTAATAGTCTAAGTTAGCTAATCTAAAATCATTAGAAATTTTGATTAGCTGGTTTATAGTTAGTATATTTGGTTGCAAGGAAATCTTTTGCAAGCAAACCATGATAAACAGCAAATTATGCATACCGTATCAGGTTATTTTTATACAACTTGATCATGGTAAAGAATCATAATTATTGAATTTTAAAATGGTGGTATTTATTTTCACTCTATAACTAAATCACACTAAAATAAATATTAAGGGTACAACCATTATATTCACAACTTTAGGATAATGGAAATATTTAATGATTGATTTGAGTTCTTTCTTCTTACTTCTGAATTTATAGTATTTGATAAATCAGGAGTCCTGAGAGTCTTAGAATTTTCATGCACTTAAAATATGTGTCTTCAAAGCATCTAGGATATGTTAATAGTTACTGAAATATGAGAACAGAATTGAACCAAAAAGTTGGTTCATAATTCTTAATCAGTGAATTAATACTCAAAGACATAAATGATATTTTTCCTGACTTTTTGAAGAAAGCTCCAAAAACTTGTGGTCAAAATGCCTACATTTCTTAATTTCTTATTTTGTCATTCAGAATTATATAATAGTAATAACATATCAAAATGTACAGAATTATAGTTAATTTTTAAGTTGGCTTCCAAATTGAAAAAGGAAACGAAACTCTGAAATTCTCTAAAGGAACATGATTATAATAGAGTTCACTTATTTATTTCTAGGAAATGTATAAAGATTCTGTGGTCTATTTCAGTCTAGTCTTTATTTTACTATATGATATGCACTTAGGATTTGCAAGTTTGTTATTCAACTGGATAATAAATGGACACAAACTTTTTGTTCTCAAAAAGCATGTATTTATTTTTGTCAAACATTAAAAACAGATTTAACTATATATTGTCAATTTTGTTATTTTAAGAAATCTGTAACATCCTTACACTTCTTAAAAAACCTGCTAATATGAGATGTAAGGGGAGCTAAACACACCCGGAACCTAGTAGCCACTTTTCAGAATCCTTGATAAAGTCTCATGTTCCTTTTCTATAAAATGAGATAAATCTACCTCATTGGGCTATTGGAGGAAATATGCTGTGAGTGCACTTTAAAAAAAGAAACTTATTATCCATAGGTAAAGAATCATTAATACAATTCCTCTCCTAATGGGAAATCCTCCATAGCTTCTGGATAATTTTATCTTCCTCCAGAGGGAATAAGTTTTGCTTTTAGCGGGCAGTATATAGTAAGTGTATGGCATGGTAAGATCTCCTTAGTTCAGTTAGGGATTAAGCAAAATTGAAGCTGAGCTTCAGTCTTTGTGAAGGCTGGTCTATTTCCAATTCACCTCTACTTTTAGGGTGCAGCCATTTAAGGATCTCAGAGGAAAGCTATGGTTGTGTACCAGGGCTTCTTGGGGACCCTGGACTCCTACTTTTGTCTCCTCCTTCACTCTCATCTTCACTGGTCCCCTGTAAGATCGCTAAAAGTACTGTTTAGTTTCTCAGCTTCTCAGTTGCTTCTGTCAGACCAGTTTCTTAGCCTCCACGTCACTGCTTGCTAATTAGCAATGTTGCAAGCAGAAAAGTAGGGCTATCCCTAATCTCTCAGCTGCCAGATCTTGGCCCTTCAAGGTCTGGCCGCTTTGATAGCTCTCTAATGATTTGAAACAGATTTCAAAAACATTGCCTCCAGCTTTTCTGGTTGTTTTTGATGAGAGAATTGACCTATAGCTAGCTAATCTGTCTTTATTAAGAGCAGATATCTGACCCAGAAGTTAATCATTTAACTTCTTTGAGACTTCGTTTTCTTGTCTAAATAATAATGATCCTAACAATATTTATTATACCAGTAATATTGAGAGGATCAAATAAGATAACATAATGGTAAAGATTTCCTAACCTGTATGGTACAGATATATATTCTATATGGCCAAAATGACTTCATATTTTTCTCTTATGGGGAGACAAGCCATCTGAAAGTGATACCATCAAATAGTTTAAATAGTATCAAATAATGATACCATTCAACAACTGCAACTCCACCAGGCTGCTAATGGGAAGAGCAAGTCAGGGGCATGTACTTAGTTGAAATAGTTGCAAAATCTCAATACTTCCAAAAAACTGTGAGTTAACTAAAGCATTAACTCAAGAGGTAAAACCAGAGAATAACTATTCTTCTAGACCCTCTCTCTATTAAAACTGACTGGCTTCTTGACACCCCCTTCGTAAGTTATGCTTTAGTGGTCTCATATCTTACTTTATAGTGTAGGAGTAACTGGTACTTAGTACTTATTGCCTTGAAGTCTCAGCCCAAGCTGAGGTCCCATTTTTACAACCATTACAAATGCTTGAAAGGAATAGAATACAAAGAACAAAAAAGCCCACTCTTATAAAACAATCAGCAAACACAGTTTGATGTATGCATATATCAAGTTCTCTCCAGAACAAAGAGCAGCTTTGCTTCTCTAAGGTTTGTATTTTTCTTAGGATGGTCATGGATGTTCTCAAGATGCCATAGGCTAGAAAGGTAAAGGGAGGTGCTGCTCTCAAGGCAGAAATAGAATGGGTGGAGTTTATGAACTGGGAAGGACTGTGTTAAGAACTCACATAAGCCACCTTCCAGGGCTCCCAGGCTTACGGTGATGAGTCCTGGAGGCTGTGTCAGCAGAGGGGTCAAGAACTAGTGAATATAGATTATCTTCTTTAATGTGACCCCATTTGTACCCACATAATAATGTGTGGCTTGGAAAATGGGAATTATGTACCAAAAAGTACAAAAAAGAAAATGAAAATGAAAATCACCTGTAATCCACCACCCTGAGCATGTGTGTGTATGAAAATTTGGTACAACACTTTGACAATATATCTCGAGCATTTCCCTTATTTAATATCTTCCAAAACATATATATTAGTTTTGAATGGCAGCCTACTATCACACTGCATGGCTGTGCCATAATTTAATCAATTTATTTTTGGGCTTTCAGGTAGTAAGTTCTTTCCTATTAAATGTAACCTCAACAAATAACTAACAGTCTAAGTCTTTGTGCACAGCTCTGATTATTTTCTTGTCATAAATTAATAGAACTGGAGTTACTGGTAAATATCTGTTTATCCATTTTCATGCTCCTCATATACATTGCCATATTTTCCTTCAGGAAAATTGTAATTATTTAGCCCCCGCCACTAGCAGTGTATGACGGTATTTGATGAAAGCCATTTTATACGAATATCTTTGTTGGGTGAAAATATCCAGTATTGATGAACAGAATCAAGGCAGCGCTGTGCTCTGAGCGCTGAAAATTAAAAAACTGCCCGGCCGGAATCCGCGAGAACCAGCCTCCTCAGTTCGGTGTCTGGAGGCCTAAGTTCCCGCTCCGTGGCAGGCGCTGAGGGCGACTCCAAAGACGTGAAGACACTACACTCGCCTAACAAAAAGCTCCATCAAATTTTGCAAACGCACACCAAGGCGGGCTGAAAACACTGGGGCAGGACCTTTTCCGTTCCCTCTCAGGCTCAGTTTCTTCCCATCAAATATGATCCGATCCTTGCCCTGTCAGCCTCTTTGGGCTGTCATGGGAATCCACGGAGATAAAAATGTGAAGGAGCGTAGCGCACTCGTACAGAATTATTACTAAAAGTAAAGAGCGCGAGGGGAGGAAAGATGCAAGACACAGGCTGGGGACAGAGACTCTCGGAGCGCTTTGGGGCTGGGCGACAAGGAGGTAGCTCCGGAGGCGGTGGCCCGGCTCCCGCCCGCGTCTGGTTCACCGCGGCCCGAGGGCGCGCCCCTCCCTCTGCGTCCCCGCCCACCTCAGACTCCTCCCCCGAACGGCCCCGCCCCTACTCCAGACTCCTCCCCCGCACCGGCCCCACACCGCTGGGTTCCAGTCTCTTCCCGGGCGCGCCCCTCCCGCGAGCCCTCCCGGAAGCCCCGGCCCAGCGTCCCCCATGGAGCGGCGGCAGAGCATCTTGGAGGCCGGCTCTGCGGCAGCCGCGCTCTTCGCCTGGGTACGTGACTCTGCCCCCGGACCGGGGCCGCTGGGACTGAGGGGCGCCGAAACTCTAGAAGCTCGCGGCCTCGGCGTGGGCGGTCTTGGCGCCGGGCGGCCGAGGTCCGGGCCAGGCTCTGGGTTGGAGGATCTTGGGCTTCGGGCAGAGGAGGAGAGGGCGGGAAGGGAAGAAGAGCCTTAACGGGGTGACTTAGGGGACTGTTGGCCAGTGGGGTCCGGACCCGAGGGGCTGCGGCGCTTCCGGAGGAACCTGCCCCCGGGACAGAGCATCTGGTTCCGTGAGAGCCTTCAGGCCTGGATAGCGCCGGGAGGACCGCGTGGAGGATTCCGTAGAGGGAATTGCCCCGTCCCAGGGCCCTCTTGGGCCACCTGTGCCCCCAATCTCGCGTTGCTTGGAGGGTGCAGGCCCTTTTCCAGCCCCACCGCAGCCTGGCAGGAGCATCTTTTGATGTGAGGCGTGCGGTGCTCGGCCGCGCATAAGGCGGACACCCTTCATATTTGCCGATATCCTGCTGTGACCGTATCTCCTCTGCCTTGGCGTAGGAGTCTGCGCTGGTGTTGATTTGACGCGGGCACTGCGAGAAATGATCATCCTTATGTGTCCTGGCTGGAAGAGAAGAGGGTCTCTGCAGAGGAATGTGTTGCATATACATGGGAGCAAGCAGACATAGATAGTGTCTTTAGTCCTTCATAGCACGTATCACAGTTGTAATGAAATGTGTAATTTGTTAAGGTCTGTTTCCTTGGCTAGAATGTGAGTTTCATAATTGAGGATACTGTGCCTGTTCACAGTGCCTAGCAAATATTTGTTGACTAATGAATGTGTGCTTAGCTTTGTGCTGGTCTTTTGATGAAAACACAGGAGTGAAAGATTTCCAGCTTTCCTGTTGGAGAAGGGGAGTAACACCTGTATTGCTATTAAAACCGGCATGTATTGAGTAATTTTAAAAACGCAATTATCAGTACCAGTCAGCACTTGTTGAATGTAAAGTTGCAGACTGGCAGAAGGGAGAGCGTGCAGTTCGGCCTGAGGTAGTATGGCTGGCTGAGTATTTTTGAGGTGGCACTTGAGCTGCAGGTGGAGTTTGGGACTGAATGTGTGTTTCGGGTGTGCTGTCTCTGGTTTTTCCCGAGTGGGAGACAAGGGTCTGTGTGTCAGATATGGTCTTGTCCATACTGAAAAATACTGTTGAGCCTAACTCTAGCACTGTGCTTGGAGGCCGGATGGTGTGATCTTCCTGCTGCATGGTGTGTATTAATTTGCTAGGGCTGCCATAACAAAACCGTAAAGATGGAGAGAGGCTTAAACAATAATGATGTATTTTTTTCCAGTTCTGGAGGCCAGAATTCCAAGATAAAGGTGTCAGCAGGTTTAGTTTCATTTGAGGCCTCTTTTCTTTGGCTTGCAGGTGGCTGCCTTCTTGACGTGTCCTCATGTGGCTTTTTCTCTGTATGAGGGCATCCCAGTGTCTCTTCACATAAGGACACCAGTCATATTATATTAGAGCCCTACCTTGATTACATCATTTAACCTCACTTATCTTTTTAGAGGCCCCATCTCCAGTCAGTCACATTTTGAGGTACTGGAGGTTCGGGCTGCAACAGGTTAATTTTAGGGGAACATAATTCAGTCCACAGCAAGGGGATTTACCTTCTTGGAGTCGTGTGTGTGTGGTGTGTCTGGAGTGTTTGTAAGGAAAGGAGGCAAATAACAGCAGTAACACGTATTAAATTTTCCTTCATCCTGGATTTAGGGCCTGGAGTTTGCATTGCAAAAATTGAGAGTCATAATTTGAATCCTGAGTGCCTGTGTCTCACTTTCTGTTCAGCAGCCTACAGTGTTGGTAATGGGGCAGTCACAGAGATCTCAGGGCTGGTGGAAAAATTCTGGCCATCTGCACTCCACAGTATGCAAGTCGTTAATTTGATCTTTCCTAGGTAGGGCCTCTTTGAGTCTTATATTCATTCACCATATTCATTATAAAATATATGCACACTTTCTCTGGGCCGGCACAGTTTCAGCTGCAGAAGATATGAGTGAGCAAAACAAAGATCCTTCTCTTCTGGTTTACTTATAAGGTGGGAGGTAGACAGTAAACAAGAAAGCAAAAATGTTGTAATGTTTGGGAGTGCTATGAAGAGAATTAATAAACAAAAGAGGATAGAGTGCTGGGATGCTATTTTAGGTAGGATCGTACAGTTAGCTTCCTGCCAGATTAGCTTTGGGCTGGTTCCCCACATATCCTTAGAGACACAGTATGGTATAATAAAAGGATTGGGGTATCCGACTTGTTGCCTGTATGTGACTATGGGAAATTACTTAACCATTCTGAGCCTTAGTTTCTTCATCTGTAAAATGTGAGTGGTAATAGCGTCTGCTCTGTTGTGAGAATAGAAAATGAATACCCAGCACACAGAGAAGCACTGTGATTGGTAGCTCATAATGCCCCTGAGGGCCCCCTGGGACCTATGCCCCTGCCCTGGCTTACTCTCCCTGCTTGGAGTTCTTGCATACCTGGAGGCCTGTGCAACAGACAGTTCCACAGGATCAGGAGTTTGTATGTATGTATGTATGAATTTTTTGTAGTTATTTTAGATCACTTTTTGTCATTCAGGTGTCTTCAAAAACAAACACATTTTAAAGATTTTACTACTTATCTCTAGGGAGAGATACTTGGGAGTAGCGTAAGAATTTCTGCAATTTTAATACAGTTCTCCCTCCACCATTCCGTTTTCTTCAATTTTGAATACAAAAAGCTCTGAAACCGTCAAACTGACCTGACATGAGGCTGCTTAGAGTCTTTGTCCGTTTAGCTGTATTTGCACCTTTTTCTGCAGAAATAATACTATTCCGCCTTTGGGGTGCTGCTTCCAGGCCTTGCAGCAGTGTATATGATTTATATGCCATATTTTCTAAAGTCTATAAAATTCTGAATCAGAAATACATCTGGCTGCCATAGCTTTTGGGTTAGGGATTCTGGACCCTTATTGTATAGTAGTAATCATAGACATATTGCTCACCAAGGGGAAATATGTTCCCTTACAGGAATCTCATTATGTAAATCTTAGCATCATCTTGTACTTGGAGGGGCCCTTAGAGATCATTGCCAACCTCTTACTGTGCAAATGAATTAACAGTGAGGCGCCCTGTATGAGGGTACATAATCCTCAGCTAACTTTGATTACAGAAGGTCGTTGTCAGTTTTCCCAGTGAGGGTGTGGGGAGAAGGGACAAGAACTAGTTCCAGTGCATTTCCCACCACTTTGTTCCCATTTTCCCTCATTATTTCTTTCCTTAGCCTCCATAGATAATTAGCTTTTATAAGAAGGAACTCCCATGCTGTCCCCCAAAGGCAACATGTGGTTTGGGGTATTGAAAGAAGAGGGGGATATCTTCAGATAAGTTGTGGGCACTAATGACTCCTCTCACATGGAAATAGTGGTGTTCTGGGGATGGGGCCACCATCAAGTATGGTTGCATATAACAAACTCTTGAGAACAGGCTTATGAAATCGCATATGTGATAGGGGCTGAGAGGTATGTCAGGGTGAGAAAGATAGGGACAGGTAAATACACGTGGATAGTGGTGGTTTCCATGCTTCTTCATCCCAGGTTTATTTTATCCCTAGGGTGCAAATAGCTATGGGCAACTTGGCCTTGGCCATAAGGAAGATGTGCTTTTTCCCCAGCAACTGGATGACTTCTGTAAACCTGGATGTGTCAGGAGGATCACAGGAGGAGGGGGCCACTCTGCTGTTGTCACAGGTAACTTCCTTCAAGAGTAGAGAGCCCCTCATTTTCTTATTTAGACATTTCCCCCTAGGGTGTTACTATGGCCATCTTTCAGCCTTGTATTTTACAAAGGAAAACATTCTTGTGAAAGAGCCAGGTTGCTATCAGTGAATTCTAGATTGTCAGAGCTGAAAGGACTTTAGAGATCTAGGCAACCCCTCCATCCTGCTCCATTATACAAATAAAGCTTAGAGAGGAAAACTGACTGCTTCAGGTTATAAGAAATCAATGGGAGAGTTGCAACATATATGACATGGTGTATCATATATTGCTGTTTAACTTTCACATAGGAGTTAGAAGTCTTTGCAATTAGAAAGAATATTCCTTGAGAAGGAGAGCTTTGGAGTTCCCTTAATTTCTCTCACAGTACCTAGGATGGTACTTCACAAGTACTGCAAGTGCTGCAATATTGCAGAGGAGGGCATATTGCATCCTTGTTAAGAACATGAACTCTGGAATCAAACTGCCTGGGTTCAAATCTTGGTTCTGTTCTTTATTAGCTGTGTGGCCTTGGGCAAGTCGCTTGATTTCTGTGCCAGTTTCTTCTCTGTTACATGGGGATAATGATGGTGGATGAGGAGAATCAACAGGGCTGCATTATGACATTCTTGGGGCCTGGGCCCTTTTGCCTTTGTGAACCTCTTACTACATAAAGAAATTTCAAACATTTTATTTTATAACTGCGTTGATATAAAGATTAGTATAATCCAGGTTAGATTTAGTATTATGTATTAATTATTATTACATTTATTTTTTCTTATTTTAAAGGAATTTAAAATTAAAACATTTGTGTGGGCCTCTAAAACTACTGTGGGCTCTAGGAACTGTGCCCAAAGTGTAAGTCACTCCCACACTTTAAGCTCTTAGAACAGTACCTGGCACATTCTAAGAGCTGAATAAATGTTGGCTTTTATTGTTACTTGAGTAGATATTCACTTTGGTCATTAATTGGCTACTGCAGTAGGACTTAGAGTTTCCATTTAGATATTATATTTGAGTCCCTTGGCCCTATGCCATTTGGTCCAGTGCACATTAACCTTTATGGCTTATTAACATGGGTAAGAGAAAGGTTATTGGGTTTGTGACTCCAAATTAGAGTGCAATCCTTTTGCTTGCTTTGGTGGTTGTGGTTTCCCCTGTGCAGACAATCACCAAAGCCTTTGTTTTTGCAGATGGAGGAAGTCTTTTCGTCTGTGGCCTGAACAAAGATGGCCAACTGGGGCTTGGTCATACAGAGGATATTCTGTATTTTACCCCCTGCAAATCCCTCCTTGGTTGTCCCATCCAACAGGTGGCCTGTGGCTGGGATTTTACCATTATTCTCACAGGTGAGTTCACTTCTAGGTGATTACCACTGGGAAGGCTTTGGGTGAGAAGAGCATGATGGTACTGATGCTGATTGAATGAATGCCTCTGTGTTTACACACACACACGTTCTCTCTGGTTGTCAAATAAATTTGGGGGTGCCTTTTACAAAGAGAGTTTGAACAGTAAAGCTTAAGGCTGGAAAACTTTCGCCAGCACCTGGGGGCCAGATCTCCTTTGGTGGCCACTTCCTGTCCCAGAAGCTCACGGAGAGAGCTGTGTGCCTGGGCTAGATAGCAGTAGTGCTGGCTAAGGGTTACTTGCTGCAGAACGCGGTGAGGAAGCATGAGGAGAGCAGAGGTTGTCCCTACAGTGATGACAACTTGTTTCCCATTGAAGGGTTAAGAAAATATATATATATGTAGTTGAGCAGAACTGTTCAATGTCTATGAAGTCAGATAGCAGGGTAGAATGTAGGGGGGCATGGCCAAAGAGTTAATAGAGTAATGTTCTTGGGAGCAGCTGGCAATAGTTACTTTGTCAGCTGACTTTTCTCTGGAAGCAGGTTTACCCTGTCCAGCTTGCTGTTCTGGATTGAAGGACCATCTACAGTTTCTGACTAGGCTCCCTCTTCCTCACAGTCCTCTGGCAAGGGCATCTTCTGACCATATGCTCCCCCCAGACCCTTGAAAATCCCAAGCTTAAAAAGACCACTTTAGCACATGGCATTCAGTTACTGTTCCCTACCTGGCCCTGTTGTTGCCTTGTCTATTATTCGCCATACTCCCCATACTTTTCTTTCTAGTAATACCAAATAGTACATGTTGTTCTTTGTCTGGAACAGTCTTTCTTGTCTATCTGATGCACTCTCATTCCTTCTTTAAAATTCTGCTTAGGTGTTGCCATCTCTCTTCTGTGGAAGGGTTGTGTAATGTGTATTGAATTTGGCAGTAATTATTAGAATCTAAATAATAGGTATCATTGTCAATGATTACTATCACTAGGACTGTGTTGGGGTGGATAACAGTGTTTCCTACTCACATTTGGAACCAATTGTGAGAAAGGTGGAGAGGAGTCAGACAGTTGGAGCTCAAACTCCATTATTTTACCATTATCAGAGCTAACCCTCCTCTGATCCATACTTACTCTGCAAACTCTGGGCTTCCCTTAGGGGAAGTCCTTACTATGTGTCAGCCCACAGTGCCTGAGCAGAAGGTACCAAGCCACACGTGTCCTGTTCCTTTTTTGAGCTCACTAATTGGCTAAGTTATCCCTCCTCCCCTAGAAAGCAGTGAGTATGGGGAAGGGCTTAGTAAAATAATAGAAATTGTGTCACATAGAAACATGAAAACTGGGCAATAAGTATCTTCCCATCCTAATGCTAGGCACTGCATAATGTTCTGCCCAGATAAGCTGTCATTAAGTAGGCAGTGTAGAGGACAATCTGTATGGAACATTTAGTCCAGTGCTAGTGTTTTTACTCCTGGAGGAGTGATAAAAGCAGGGAATACGGTTTGAATGTGCTAAAGCACAGGGCCCCCGCTCTTCCTCTCATCCTCCAGCATTTGCCTTTTGGTCATAGATAGCTTACTTTTTAGATTGTGATTTAAGTATTTGTGTTTTGCAGAAAATGGTCAAGTTCTATCATGTGGATCCAACTTCTTTGGTCAATTAGGAGTTCCTCATGGGATTCCAAGATGTGTAGTTCCTCAAGCCATTGAGGTAAGGCAGCATCCAATATTTAGCTTGCCCGTGTCCTGTTAAAGCACTCCTCGGGTATTATCGTTATTATTGTTACCCCTCCCAGACTGAAAGACTGGCAGGGTCCATGAAAACCCATGAGGGAGGTAGAATTTAAGATGAAAACTTAGATTTTCTGGGAAAAATTAGGTTGGGTGGATGGAGGTGGTGAGTGAAAAAAACCTGTTAGCCCTCATACACATTATACATTTTTGTGAAGTAAGACAATAAGGGTAATATATCTCATAAAGACATTAATGATGTTTTCCAATTCTAAAATTCATAATAATAGGAATTGTGTTGGAAACAGGTCCAATTAGAAGTGACCTACCTAAAGACAGTAAGCTGGCAAATGGTATAGGCTAGTGCTGTCCAAAAGAAATATGATATAAAAATAACATGTAAATGAAAATTTCTGGTAGCATCATTTAAGAAAGTAAAGAGAAATAGGTGAAATTAGTTTTTAAAATAACAGCTTTAATGAGATGTAATTCATATAAAATATAACTTTTACCCTTTAAAAATGTATAATTCAAGTGGCTTTTAGTTTATTCACAGAGATGCTCAGCCATCTAATTATCTACTTAGATAATTATGACCATTATCTAATTTTAGAACATTTTCATCGTCAGCTAAGAAACTGTGTACCCAGGTGCAGTTTCTTCCCATTTTCTCCTACCCCACCCCTTGGTGATCAATAATCTGTCTCCATCGATTTGCCTTTTCTGGGCATTTATAAATGGAATCATAAATATGTAGTCTTTTTTGTCTAGCTTCTTTTACTTCATGATATTTTCAAATTTCATCTATGTTGTGGGGTGTGGGTAAAATTAATTTTAATAATTTTAAAGTTAATCCAATGTATCCAAACTATGTCATTGCATTTTATATGTCATATAAAACTTATTAATGAGACATTTTATATTCTTTATTTTATACTCAGTTGAACTCCGGTGTATATTTTTCACTTACACTATGTCTCAATTCAGTAGCCATATGTTGCTAGTGGCTACCATCTTGGACAACATGAGGATTAGACAGGACTCCTGCCCTAGTTCAGAGCTCTTTTCACTGAGTTGTACTTAAAATATATATATTAATATTTTAATGATCACAGTAGGAGTATGGAATTTTAAAAGAACTATGCTGGGATCTAAAATGAGTTTCACCACCTAAGCTGCTCCACTCCTATCTAATTTCCTTAAACTCTGACTCAGTAGGAGATCTGTTGTCATTGGAGAAAGCGTGGTCAGCTCCCAACGTTTTGCCGAATTATGATTGCTTCATATGAAGGAAGGTAGGGCGTGGGGCATTATTTGGTGTCATGGTTTCCATGGTGTTTTAGTCTGTTCAGGCTGCTAAAACAGAAATACCATGGATGAGATGGCTTAAACAACAAACATTTATTTTTCACATTTCTGGAGGATGGGAAATCTAAGATCAAGGCACCAGCAGATATGGTATCTGGTGACCCTCCTGGTTTATAGATAGTCATCTTCTCGTTGGGCAAAGAAGCTCTCTAGGGCCTCTTTCATAAGGGCATTAATTCCATTCATGAGAACTCCTTTATCATGACCTAATCACCTCCCAAAGACCTTCCTTCCAAATACCATCACATTGGGTAAGAGGTCTCAATATATGAATTTTGGGTGAATACAAAACATTCAGTCTATAGCACATGGGATGCAGGGAAATCTAGACTCTGTAGTCCCTGTTGTAGGAAGTGTTACAGCTTCTAGTTACAAATAGATGGCTTTTTAAGAACCTAACTCTAAGTTATAATTAATTTAGCCTAAGCCACATTATTAAAGAATACAGGGGAACAATGTTTAAAATACGTTAGATGGCAGAATGAGGAAGTAAAAACATTTTGACAGGCTTTTTCATATGGGACAATGAAAGGAATGTGCCAAAGTGAAGTATAATAGAAAGTCATTCATTTATTTAATAGCAACTGTTGTGTACAGGTGCTGTTGTTAGGAAGTGGGGACAAAAGTGAATAAGATCCAATCCTAGCATTTGAGGGTCTTACAGTTAGCAGTACATGTTAGATACAGAAATACCTAAACACATTATCATGTTAGAACTGTGGTAGATGCATGTATAGTCTCAAAGGAGGGAGTACTGAACTCCTTGGGGAAGATGGGCTGAGAATAGGCTGTGCTAAGTCTTGAAAGTTGAGTGGGAGTTTACCTGGTTGAGATAGGATGCATGGAGTAGGTAGAAAGAAGGGCATTCCAGCAGAAGGTACTATAAGCAAATGTGTAGAAGCATGAAACAGGAGGGTTTGGGATACTACAAGCAGTTTAGTATGATTGGAATATAATGATAGAAACACCAGTGGGAAAGGGGCAAGCGGGGAGGTAGTGTAGGATAAACAGTAGGAACACTGTTTTAGGGAGGGCCTGGATGGGGGAAGAACAGTGTATTGGGGGGCTGAATGGGATAGTGTGGAGGATGAATTGAAGGAAGATCACTCAGGAAACTCTGGCTAATGCAGATTAAGAGAGATGGCCTTGGTCCAAACTAAAGAAGTGGGAGTAGAGATGAAGAGGTAGGAATGGAGGTGAGTTGAGGATGTTGAAGAGATTGGATCCACATGTAGAGCCTTTTAGTTTTGAAAAAAAAAGAAAAAAATAAATTGATGGTCAATATGTTCAAACTGTATTAGCAGTAAGATTTGATCTTCTCAAAAGCTAATGTGATTGTGGGCTGTATTAAGAGAACTAGTGTCTGGAAGAAGGGAGGCCAGAGTGCTGTCCTTTGTGCTAGTCAGACTGTGTCTGGAATGTTGTGTTCCGTTGTGGGTTTGGTGCTTAGGTTCTGGGAATAAAGGTAAGACTTGGACCCTGCCTTTGAGGGTCCCAAAGTTTAGAAAGACACTGTGGATCTGCAAATAAACAATGTGCTAAAACTCCATAGGGGCTATGATCAATGCCTATCCAAGTCCCTTTAAAAGAGAGAGATTGACAAAGACCTGAATGTAACTCATGAAACCATAAATCTCATAGAATAAAACAAGTAAAAATCTCTTGAATATAAACATGAGCAACTTTTTCTTTAACACTTCTCCTTGGACAAGGGAAACAAAAGCAAAAATGAACAATAGGACTACATCAAACTAAAAAGCTGTACAACAAAGGAAACCATCAGAACAAAAAGGCATCCTATAATATGGAGAATATATTCATAAATGATGTATCCAATAAGGGGTTAACATCCAAAGTAAAGAGCTCACACACCTCAACACCCAAAAAACAAATAACCTGATAAAAAAATGGGTGGAGGATCTGAACAGACACTTCTCCGAAGAAGAAATTCAGATGGCCAAGAGGCACATGAAAAGATGCTCCACATTACTAATCATCAGGGAAATGCAAATTAAAACCACAATGAAATATTATCTCATACCAGTTAGGATGGCCAACATCCAAAAGACAAGAAACAACAAATACTGGTGAGGATGCAGAGAAAGGGGAACCCTCCTGCACTGTTGGTGGGAATGTAAATTATTTCAACCATTGTGGTAAGCAATATGGAGGTTCCTCAAAAAACTAAAAATAGAAATACCATTTGACCCAGTAATTCCACTCCTAGGAATTTTACCCAAAGAAAACAAGATCCCTGATTCAAAAAGACATATGCACCCCTATGTTTATTGTAGCACTATGTATGAAAAATAGCCAAGCAATTTGGAAGCGACCTAAGTGTTCATCAGTAGATGAGTGGATAAAGGAGATGTGGTATATATACACAATGGAATATTATACAGCCATAAAAAGAAAACATCCTACCATTTGCAACAACATGGATGGAGCTAGAGGATGTTATGCTCAGTGAAATAAGTCAGGCAAAGACAAATACCAAATGATTTCTCTCATTTGTGGAGTATAATAGTGAAGCAAAACTGAAGGAACAAAACAGCAGCAGACTCACAGAACCCAAGAAGGGACTAGTAGTTACCAAAGGGAAGGGGTTGGGAATGGTGGGTGGGGAGGGAGGGAATAGAGGAGTAAGGAGCATTTAATTAGCATACACAATATAGGTAGGTCATGGGGAAGGTAGTATAGCACAGAGAAGGTAAGTAGTGACTCTATATATAGCATCTTACTATACTGATGGACAGTGACTGCAATGGGGTAGGGGGACTTTATAATATGGGTGAATGTTGAAATCACAATGTTGTTCATGTGAAACCTTCATAAGATTGTATATCAATGATACCATAAATAAATAAGTAGGTAAGTAAGTAAAGAGAGATTGAGTAACCAGAGCATGTTTAGAGGAGATAAACCAAGCAGGGGAGGGAATTTGAGACTGGGTGATGGCTGATGGAATTGGGGAGGTTTCATCTACAGAAGAGATAAGTATTAGTTCTCTGCTGCTGTGTAATAAATTGACCTAAAATTTAGCAGCTTAGAACAACAAGCATTTATTATTCATAGTTTCTGAGGGTCACGAATCTGGGAATAGCTTAGCTTGTTTCTGAGGAGGTTGCAGTTAAGATGTCAGCTGGAGTTGCACGCAGTTTGCTGAAGGCTTGACTGACTTGCTAGATCCACTTCCACACTCTCAGCTGGCGGGAGGCTTCAGGTCCTTGCCACATGGCTTCTCTGTTGGACCATTCAGGCATGGCATCTGGTTTCCCCAAGAGTGATTTGAAAGAAAGGCTGAGAAGGAGGCCTCCAGTCCTTTTATCACCTAGGCTCTGAGCCACTCTTCACTTCCTTATCCCATTCACTAGAAAGAAGTTACTAAGTCCAGTCCACACTCAACTGGAGGGCAGTTAGCTTCTACATTTTGAAGGGAGGGGTTTCAGAATTTGAGGACCTACTTTTTATTTTTTATTAAGGTATCATTGATATACAATCTTATGAAGGTTTCACATGAGCAACATTGTGGTTACTACATTCACTCATATTATCAAGTCTCCGCTACACCCCATTTGCAGTCTTGAGGACCTATTTTTAAAACCAGCACGAGACATCTGAAAGAGGACATGACAGCTGTTTTCAAATATTTGGAAAGCATTGTCAGAAGCTACAGGCAGCTAGATGTGGCTGCTTCCAAGGAGAAAGTGGAATGGTGTAATGATGGAGCAGGCATTTGGAGACATAGTAAGCTGCTGGAAGTAGGCATTTGGCAGGGGTTGGATGACACTTGGTGGGTATTGTGGAGGGGTTTGTAGCATTGCATGGGGACTGGATTAGATCAGAGGTTGTCAAACTAGAACCTTGGCAAGTAAAGTTTTATTGGAACACAGCCATGCCCATTCATTTATGTATTGTCTATGGCTGCTTTTATGTCTAGTGGCAGAGAGAAGTAGTGTGACAGAAATTCTGTGAGGCCTGCAAAATCTAAAATAATTTATTCTCTGGCCCTTTATAGAAAACATTTACTAACCCCTGGACTGGAAGACCTTGAAGGTCCTTCCCAGGCCTGAAAGGCATTGTGAGATGGTATTTTTAAAGACCTTTTTACTTTAAAAAGGTGTTTATGGATGGAAAAGTTGGGGGTTGGCAGCTCTAAACTGATCAGACACATAATGAGGGCCATTCTGTGCTGCATTTGGGCATAAATTACATAATGTTCTGTAGATGGATGATTCTGAGATCCCAATCTTTTTCTTTATTTTGACAGCTCCTGAGAGAGAAGGTTGTTTGTATTGCTGCTGGACTGAGGCATGCTTTAGCTGCCACAGGTGATCATTACGCTTTTATTTTCTAAATAAGCATGTAATAAGGAGAAACAGCTTTAGCAGAAATAACCTCTAGGGAGTAATTCAGAGTGTCCTGCCGTGCCGCCCTTCTGATTAAAAGGAGGGGACAAAGGCCAGAGACAGGTGGGAAAGCCTCTAGCAGGTTGGGAGGAAGAGAAGTTTTCTAGCTCTTTATGATGTTCTAGGCATGGTGCTAAGCTGTCTTGTTTTACTTAATACCCCATTTAATCTTCACAACCTCATAGTGACTGTGAGTTAAATTTTTGTGTATGAAGAAACTGAGGTCCAGAGAAGCTAAAGCACTTATCCAGGGTTGCACAGGGAGCAAGGGAGGAAAAGGTAGAGCTGGTATCAGTCTAGGGCAGTCTGGATTCCAAGGCTCCCATTCTTTGCTGTGAACAGCACTGCTTTCCAAGTGACTTAAAAGCTTTATGTGAGCTTGTCTCCTGTACCGTGGGAGGGTGATGGATCCATGGCTGACAGGGTGTGTGAGACTGAGGGTGGCAAGTGGAAAGGTCTGGTGGCGTGTGGAAGAAGTGCATCTCTCTTCTCTCTTCCTTGGTCATTTTTGGGCTCCCATTCCTGTGAGCTGGAGGACAGCCCTAATCGGCTGGCAGCTGAGGCTCAAGCATTCAGTGAGTCCACACATGGAGTGCAGAGAGGAGAGGCAGCCGGGAAGAGGCTGGTGGGGCACTGAGCTCAAGGTCGTCTGGGGCTTTGTATTGATCATACTTCACAAACATTTTTAGGTTTTATTTTGAGATATTTGTAGAGTCACATGCAGTTGTAAGGACAAAAATAGACCTCATGCACTCTTTTCCCAGTCTCTTCCCGTGTAACATTTGTGAAGCTGTAGTGCAAGAGCACAACCAGGATGTCTTTGTACAGTCCAGATGCAGACCAGTTCCATCACCGCAGTGATCCCTTCTGTTGCTCTTTTATGTCGGTGTTCATTTTCTACCCACCTCCACCCCCTTCTCAGTTCCTGGCAACCACGCTTCTCTTCTCCAACAATAATATTGTCATTTCAAGAATGTTATATAAATGGTGTCATACAGTATGTAGCCTTTTGGGATTAGCTTTTTTTGCTTAGCATGATTCTCTGGTGATTCATCCAAGCTGTGAGTTTCAATAACTTGTTCCTTTTCATTGCTAAATAGTATTCTATGGTATATATAGATATGCCCCGCTATCAGCCATATCAGGTGGCCAAAACAAAATACCCCAGACTGGGTGGCTTAAACAACAGGAATATGTTTTCTCACAGTAATGGAGACTCGAAGTCCAAGATTAGGGTGCTGGCAGAGTTGGTTTCTGGTGAGGCCTCTCTTCCTGTCTGGTAGGTGGCTGCTGTCTCACTGTGTCCTCACTTGGCCTTTCCTCTGTGTGTGCACAGAGAGAGGGAGACTGCTGGTTTCTCTTTCCCTTGTTCTAAGGACACCAGTTCTATCAGGTTAAGGCCTCCCTCTTATGACCCCTTAGCCTTACTACCTCCTTATAGGCCTCATCTCCAGATACAGTAACACTGGAGCCTAGGGCTTCCACACATGACATTTCAGCGACCCACTTCAGTCCATAACACATACAGTTTGTTTAACCAGTCGTCCATTGAAGGACATCTGTTTGCTTCCAGTTTTTGGCTATTAAGAATAAAGCTATAAATATTTGTGGACAAGTTTTTATGTGAACATAAATTTTCATTTCTCTGGGATAAATGCCCAGGAATGTGATTGCTAAGATATATAGTAGTGATTACACTTTCATAAGCAGCTTCTTCTCTTAGAAGGCAGCAGGGCTGGAGGATTGCCTATCACTGGTTTAATTCCCCCTTCCCTACCAACTTTCTGTAAATGCTAGTCTTATGTGTACATTCCTGTCCAGTCATAAAGCAGCAATTTGTATTATGTTTGACTGACTTCATTGTAAGTGCTCCTCTCCCCCATTTAATCTGTAAATATTTCTGCCTCCATATCTAAAAGAAAAGGGTGCCTTCTGAAACCATTACCAAAATACCATCATCATACCTACAAAAAATTAACAGTAATTCTGTAATTTATCAAATATCCAGTCAGTGTTTAAGTTTTCTTGATTGTCTCAAAAAATACTTTTTTACGTTTTGAATCAGGATCTGAATTAGGTGCATACATTGCAGTTGGTTGATAGATATCTCAACTCTCTTTTTAAAAATATTTACTTAATTTACCATCTTAACCATTTATAAATGTACAGTTGCGTGGTATTAGATACATCACATTATTGTGCAACCATCACCACCATCCATCTCCAGAACTTATTTCATCCTGCAAAACTGAAATTCTACATCCATTTAACAGTAACTCCCCATTCCTCCTTCCCCCAGCCCATGGCCACCCAATTCGACTTCCTGGCGCTCTGATTTTGACCAGTCGTACAAGCACATCATACAAGTGCAGTTGTATATATTTGTCTTTTCATGGCTTATTTCACTTAACATAATGTCCTCGAGGTCTATCCATGTTTTAGCATATGTCAGAATTTTCTTCCTTTTTAAGGCTGAATAATATTCCATTGCATGCATATGCCTCATTTTGCTTATCTTTTCATCAGTTGTTAGACACTTGGGTTGCTTCCACATTTTAGCTGTTGTGAAAAATGCTGCTATGAACATGGGTGTACAGATACCACTTTGAGATCCTGCTCTCTTTAGCATGTATACCCAGAAGTAGAATTGTTGGATCATACAGTAGTTATGTTTTTAACTTTTTGAGGAACCACCATCCTGTTTTCCACCATTTTACATTCCCACCAGCAGTTGCAATGGATTCCAGATATCTCCCCATCCTCACAAACACGTTATTTTCTATTTTTGTTTTTTTATAGCCATTCTAATACACACGAAGTAGTATCTCATTGCAGTTTTGATTTGCATTTCTCTAGTGATTAGTGATGTTGAGCATCTTTTTATGTTCTTATTGGACATTTGTATATTTTTCTTTGGAGAAATGTCTATTCAAGTCCTTTGCTCAGTTTTGAATCAGGTTTTTTTTATTATTGTTGACTTTTAGGAGTTCTTTATACATTCCAAATATTAATCCTTTATCAGGTATCTCAAGTCTCTTAATATATAAATCCCTTTTCCTATCTTTATTTTTTTCTCCTTGATTCTATTTGTTGAAGAGATGGTAAGTTTTATTCTATTTCAATACTGTGTTTTGTTCACATTGTGTTCAGTCATCATCACTTATATTTCACAAAGCAGGCTTTGCTGTTTACAGCCTAAGGGACCATTGGTTATAGGTTACTTTCAGAGAAGCAGAATCTTAATGTTGCTGGTAGGTGATGGGTCCTAGCCACACACATCTGACCGTAGACCATATATATAAAATCTCACTTATGCATTTGTATGAGGTTCAGAACTTGGGTACATGAATTAGATCCAGTGGATATGAAAATAAAAGGCCATTCCACTGAAATAGTGGCTACTAAGAAGCTACCTTGCAGTCATAAATAAATACTTATTTGGCAATTAAGGAATCTTTAAATTTATCTTGGTCTAGTAGGAAAGGATCTGTGGTAGGTGTTAGGAGAGCTGAATCCTAGCATTTTCTAGACTACCAGCTCCCTGCATAATCTTGGACAAATCATATCCCTTCTTCAGGACCTTATCTAGTAAATGTGAGGATTGGACTTGATAGTCTTCAAGGTTCATTCCCACTTAGTCTGGAGTCTGAGTTGTCCTTTTAGGTTAATCATGAATAAGGTATCATTTGAGTAATTTGACTCTGGAGGGGTGTTCTGGATCTTTTTGAAAGGAGTTTTACAATATAGGAGTTTTCTTTAATGGTCTTAGATTACCCTGAAGACTAGACTTGTGCCTGGCTCAGTGGTAATCCCTATGACCAGGCCTAGGGCCCCTAGAAGCAATGTTTTTCCATAATATGCATGTTAACTGAGAATGAATTGGGAATCTTCTATAGCAGTGAGGTTCAGAGACCAATCTGTTCCTAAACCAGATAAGCATCTTCTCTTTTTTCTCTTCTGCTCCTTTGGGAAGGAAGTGGCATTGTGTTCCAGTGGGGGACTGGTTTGGCATCATCTGGACGGCGGTTGTGTCCTGGGCAGACTCTTCCACTGTTTTTCACTGCAAAGGAACCGAACAGAGTGACAGGTAAAGCCCGTATTTCTTCTAAGTGCTGTATTTATGCTTTGTCAGGAAGCAGAGACACAGGCATGCAAAAAATGGGTAAATGGAGTTTTGCTTTTGCTATTTCTTAATTCTTTCTGTTGGTTGGTCTATTAGTCATGTTAGGATTTGGGGGCCCAGTAAAGGTACCACTCTTCACTGTCAGTTTGGAACCCATTGAAGGGTAGATGCAAGTCTGATAGGTGGGATTAAAATGGTAGCTCTAGAACTGTTACAAGTTAGGTGGAAGACATGACTTAGGTGGTTGGAAATAATGTGTGTCAGTGGTGAACCTCTAAATTCTGAACCCCAGATTGAACTTGCCCACCAGGCAGTGGGGTAGTTGCATAGAGCCAGCCCTGCTAAGCTTAGTGCACAGCAGAGAGCACAAGGGGAGGCACCTTGTCTGCAGGCAGGTGTATTCCAGAGGGAACTCTGAAAGGACTGTGCCTCAGATACCCAGTTCCTTCTACAAGGAAAGCAAGAGTGAGTAAGAGTGGCCAGGAGTATGCCCATAGCAAAATCTTTCTCCAGGGGCACCAGGAGAGGTGGAAAGGAAGTGTTCTTCCCCCAGGTCTGTTGGTCAGTCTTTGTTGGTCAGAGGGTCTGTAGGGCTTTCTCATTTTCTCTCTTTCTCTCTGGGGCTCAGTTTCTCTCTCCCTTTCTCACAGCTCCTCTCTCCCTCTGCTCCATACTCTCTGTAGATAGCACTGTGCTCCATCTCCTCCTCTTCTGCCTTTCTTCCTCTCACACTCTCTTACTTCAGGACCTAGTTTACTGAGGGTCGACTGGAGACAAAACCTAGACAGGAAACCTCCTTTCTTCTAGCTCAGAACAAAGGAGGGAATTTTAAGAGTGGTAAGATGTGGGGAAAAAAGAGGGAAGGGAAAGCAGCAGTGGGTGTTGTACCAGAGAGTGGGGCCGTTCTGATTTTCCTGAGCCCTAAAGGCTCTCCTCCTCAGCTGCTGGTGGGGTCAGCCGCCCGAGGCCCACGTGGAGCTGGGGAGGGTGGGTACTTTTAGAGAAGAAGAAAGGGGCCCTGGCTGCCAGACAGGAGTCAGTCCACTTCGTATGACACTGAAAACAGGCATAATGTAAGTTGATACTTCCCACAGTTTTTCCTGCCCCACCAAGGTGATCATAGCTCCCTGGGCATATCCTGCTTTCTCATTCCTCTGTTCCTGCAGGCAAACTGGTACATCTGCCTTTTCCTTCCTGTACCCCCTGAGAAAATCTGGATAATTTCAGCCTTTTTAGTTAAGATGCCTCCTTCTTCTTGCCTCTATTGTATTTTCTTCATGTGCATGTATAGTATAGCACACTGAAGCATTATGAATTGTTTATGTGTTTTCCTACATGCCAAAGATGACGAGCTTTGTAAGGGTAGGAACTGTCTCTGTCTGTTTTAGCTCAGAATCTGTAACTAGAAGGATTCCGAAATATTTTTATTTGGTTTGTTTAAATGACCTACTTGGGATCTGCTTGGGACACAGCTTAGATTCAGAGTTGATTTGAGGAGGGTGGGTTTCGGTGAGACTTTAGAATGGCTCATCGATTTCCTGCCCTTAGAGTCTGTCACTGTTCATTCTCCTGTCACCCCATCACCACAGGTCCTGGAGGTGGAAACTTGCGTGGCCTCTCCTCACGTGGCCACTAAGGGCCTAGTGCTTCCTCTGTTGGGAATGTGGTGGAAACATCTGCTTTGTCCCTTTGTCCCTTTGTCATTCCACAGGATACTTAAAGGATGGCAGGCATTTTATTAAGACACTAGTTAAATGAAGTGTCAGAAAAAAGAGTTACAAACTAAGACTATATCCCCACATGCTAGACCAGGTGACACAATGTAGCAGAGTTACTTTGGGGTTATTATACCTTGTCAGTGAGGACAGTGTAATTATGGGAGGAGGAGTGCTGGATTTGGAGATGCAAGGCTGGTTCAGATTCTAGTTCTGCTTGTTGTTAGGAGGCCTGGGTTAGTATTTCATTGCCTGCATGTGATAGCAGCTGAATGTATGAGATGTTATTGCTTCTAGGCCCACTCAGCGGACAGAGCTAGGGAATATACATGTACACACTGTTTATCTATGTCTGCTAGAAGCCATGAGTTGACTGATTTCTCCAGTTAAATCCAATATCACATGTTTGATTCTAGCCTTCTACCTTTTCCTATCTATGCCTTTCCTCCTCTCTGATGGTGAGAAATTTACTTATTTGTTCAATCTCCTGGTATGCAGCTAGTCTTCCTACTGTGCCAGCCATCTTCTTGGCCAGTGCCACTGACTCAGACCAGCCTGCATTGGCTCAGAGTTTTTCCCAGACCCTGGTAGTGCTGAGTCTTCTGCCCAGTTTGTTCTGTTATAAATATAATCTCAAAAGAAAAAAAACATTTTTTTTGTAGGTCTAGAGAATTCTAAAGCAGTGTGTGTTCTTGCTGGCTCAGATCACTCAGGTGCATTGACAGGTGGGTACCAGCTCTTTGAGTTTAACCTGCCATTCAGAATTATGTATGTTTTTGCCTCAAGACATGCTGTGGAATACAGAGGGAAGAGCATAGACTTTGGAGTCAGAATTCTGATGCCACCAGTGGTCTAATCTTAGGCAAGTTACCTTACTTTGCTGGGACTGTTTCCTTGACTGTAAAATACTTAGTGGGTAATTTTGAGAATTAAGTATGATAATATATGTAATGTTCTCACATGAAATGTAGGCTTACTTCCTTTCCTCTGAGTCTATACAGTAAGAGTGAGAATATCTCCCTCTCGGTAATTATAATTGTCAAGTCAGATAACCAACAGTAAATTTATATGTAACATCTTGTTATCTTATCCACCAGATCCATTTCAATGTCTAAAATAACTGTCTAAGCTCTCTAGCTATTTTGTTTAGCTGTTTAATCTCAAACTAACCTATTTTATCCACCTATATCTTTCAAATCCATATATCTTTCTTTTTGTATGCTCTCTTTGTGTATATCTTTATCTACTCTTTTCTTTAACTGTATATCTCTGTATCTTTCATCTTTGTGTCTTTCTGCCTAATCTATATATCCGTAGGTCTAAGTCTAGTTATGTATGTGTTTTATTGTCTACTTTATCTTTTTATATACTTCTTTAATTTACCTCCCTCTTCCACCTCTTTGATCTGTCCCTAACTCTCATCTTCTCTCTCTCTCACACTAAGTCTCTCTTTTTGCCTGTGTGTCCATTCATACATTTGGCACACCCAGCTGGTAACAGTATAAACTTTTTAGTGACAATGCAGTATGTTCTTTAAAGTGAAGGTTATCCCTTCCTGTTACCTCCTTCAAAGCCCAGTTTGCCCTGACCCCTGCTGGTAGAATGGAGACAATGGTCTGAGAGTTTTAATTTTGGTAAGACCTTTCAGAGTTGAATGCATTACATGTTTTAAACAAAGGGAAATAACTTTCATACATGGTGTTTTCAGTGTTTTATGTGGCTATTCAGATGGTGGCATGCATTCTTCAACATCAAGTTTGTAATGTAGTCCAACTGGAAGCTACATTATCCAGAATACAAGAGCCACATGTGAGAGTGTAAATACAAATTCTGAACTACAGACAATTTGTTATTTAGTGAGTTTAAAACAACCAACTAACAAAAGAAATACCTACTTTTAGCCTGTGCCTTGTGTTAGTTAGATTTATATGTATGTTAAAAGGGTTGAGTTGAAATGAATACCAACTATAAGGGACTTACCTGGGCATCTGGTCCCGCCTCTCCTTTTATAAAGGAAGGACTGGAGATCCTGAGGTGGGAAGTGACTAGTTCATGCCCCAGAGTCAGTGAGGGTTGGGAAAGGCTGGACGTTCTTTTCTGAGAATAAGAGTATACTAAAAGATATTTCTATTCTGTTCTGATTAATTTGAAATGGCTAGCATTACATAAACATAGTGATTCACTAATTGCTTGCTGATATCAGTTTCTTCAAAAAATCTTGTAATTCATAAAGTTATTTCATATGTGAAGCACTTTTATTATGGTGTTTTTAAAACACATGTTGAATTTCTGCTTTTTAAGAATAATTCATATCTAAAAAATTCACCCTTTACAAGTGTACAATTTGGTAATTTTTAGTATGTTCACAAAGTGAATTGGTTTTTGATATTTTGACAGTGAGTTAAAAAATTGCCAAGATTAATACCCATCTTTCCTGGTCTAGTTCAAACTGTTCCGCATTGGATTTGTTCAGTGCTCTCTAGAACTTCGCTCTGGAGTTGTAGGTTATGTAACTGTTTGACATTGCAGCAGAATTTAATTTTGCCTGCTGATGCAACAGTGTAATGATCCGCATGTGGAAGACAGTTTGTCTTTGCAAAAAGATGATTTAGACTTACTAAGATAAATGAAGGCCTATTATAGACACAGGCTCCTTGCCAGTGGTAGCTAACAAGTCCATTTAATGAGTTGACACTTTGCTGAGGGGCTTCTCTGCCCTCCTGTAAGGCATCCTTATACTTTACACATACTGGTGAAGTCCAGGGAGGTTGCCTTCTCTCTGGGCATACACCAAATTCACTTCATAAAACTGCAGAGTGTCAGTGCTGCAAGGTTACATGGATGACAAAAAGGCTCCACTCATTTACACTTCCTCATTTTAGACTTGATGAAACAGTTCCAGAATGTGAAATCATGTGCCCAATGTCAGAGGGTGATGGAGGAGCAGCTCTGGGACTTGAACTCTGAATCTTGGTCTGATGTCCTTTAACGATACTATTTGGCTTTTGATCATTTTTTGAGAATATACCAGACTGCCCTAGGGCAAGCAACACCGTAAAGCTTTGTTGGGAGGTCACAAAAGGTGGTGGAAGCAGAAGACCTTGCCTCTTCTAATCAAGACCCCTAAATCCCATTTGGGTCTTTATTAACCATGTGATCTTGAAAGTTATTTAACATTTCTGAGCCTTGATTAAATTACCTTCTAATAGAGTGCTGTCTAATAGATACATAATGTGGACCACATTTCAATAAGTAAAACGAAACAGAGGAATTCAGTTTAATAATATATTTTACTTACCCCAGATTATCCAAAATATTATTTCCTATCTGTAATCAATGTAAAATTATTAATGAGCTACAATTCTTTTTTATTTTTTTGCCCTAAGCCTTTGCAATCCATGGTCCTATTTTTGTCTTACAACACATCTCAGTTTGGACTAGCTGTGTTTCAAGTGTTCAGTAGCCACATGTGTGTACTGTGTGCTATATATATAGTACAGTGTAGAAGCTTAGAATGTTAGGGTTGGAAAAGTTGGTAGGGATCATCCAATGAGTCATAGACTATAGATTCACAGGCTGAATTGCAGCCCATGGCCCCATTTTGTTTGGCTTCTAGTAAAACATTTTTGAGCATGAATGCTTGTTAGGCAAGCACGTGCCCTCTGGTTTGCCACGATTGCCTACCTGTCTCACTTGTTACCCGTCTCATTGTCTGTGCTTCCAGACCAACCGCCTTCCAATTTTTAGCTGGTGAAACTAAGGCTTGGAGAGGAAGTGATTTGTCCAAGGTCAATAGCTGGGTAGCAGATCCAGGAATAGCAGCCTGAGTCACTTGACTCTGAATTTGCTCTCTCTCTGTTAAACTACAATGTCTGTCAGTTGCATCCCTGCCTGTATCACAAGACTACTGTGAGGTTCAGATGAGCTGAAGTACCATACAGATGTGATGTAGCAGCATTATATTTTCTCCTGGACAGGGCATGTACTGAAATAATCTTATGTTTAAGAAGTTTAAGCTTAAATAATATGTCTTTTAACCTGTTATTTTGAAAAGTGTATTTTTTTCCTGACAAAGGGCAATGCATATACTTTTTAAAATATAGAAATAAACATATATCTTGCACATGGTAGATATTGGATAAATACTTGTTGAATGAATTAATGAAAAATAAACTCACATTTGGCTTTGTTTGCTATTTACAGAATTTTTAAAAATCTTATATGTTACTATGTTACACTTGACTTTTGTATCTTGCTTTGCTCCACTTAACATTGTAGCATAAGAATTATTGTTTCTTTCAACTGACTCATGTTCTTTTCTGTCATTTTGGACTAATGTTCCTTTCTCTCTTTTGTTCCCCTTCTGTTTGTTTTAAGATGCAGGAGAGCTGTATGTTTGGGGAAGCAACAAGCATGGGCAACTGGCTTCCCAGGCTGCTTTCCTTCCTCTGCCCCAGAAAATAGAAGCACACTGTTTTCAGAATGAAAAGGTTACTGCCGTCTGGAGTGGGTGGACACACCTGGTTGCTCAGACAGGTGAGAGAGCAGCAGAGAATTTGTGGTTGGTAAGAGCGGCTGGGGGACAGCTGTCTAAACAGCTATGAATGCTCAGGTCTGAGTAGGTAGGTTTTTATGATGAAAAGCGCTAAGGCTTGGGAAGGGAAGTACCTGGTATCTACCTCTGTAATGAGCCAGATATGTGGCTTTTCCTCTCTGGATCACAGATTTGCACCAAAAAAAGGTAAGGCTGGGCCAGGTTCACCCCTTCTGGCCCTCAGAGCCCATTAGGATTTGTGAGGAGGAACCCATTGCAGCCAGTGTCCCCCAGGTGGCTGGGAGTTGTCTTTGCCTTGACATAGCTGAAGAGACGATTCTGTTCACATTTCCACCTGCATCTAAGTTAAGGGTCTCAGAAATTGTTAAGTTAAAGATCAAGATTGATGCAGGAGCATTATTTTGAAAGATAAGCTGGCATCGTATTTTGATTTAATTTTTTAAAGCTCTATTAGTTTTTTAATTTAAAATTTTATTAATCCTAACAAATACTGTATATCAATTCAGACTCCTATATATTCCCTCAGATGTTACCTGTTTGTGCCCTGCCATCCAGCTTTTGGCATCCTTATCTTTCCTTGAGTCCTCATTTATCTCTCCTCTCTTCCTTAGGGCAGTTCTTCTTTCCTCGTCATCATATTCATGACTTTGTTCTTGGGGTTTGTTTTTTCCTGGCCTCTCCTCTCCTTTTCTCTGCCTTCCTAGAGCTCCTGCTGACTTATGCACAGTTTCCCAGACAGGTTGTTTATAATTCTTAAGATCTGTGGTCATGGCAAGGCCTTCTGGGCTTGGTACCTACACACAGATCTCTAGACTCCCAAATACCTAGTGACTGTTGTTCTTGTACTTTCTGTTTTTTTAGGGTTTTAGGTCAGCTTTAGTTACCCTGGGTAAGTCATACATACTACACATTTGAACACACATGTAGAGCCTTATGAGTATTTATATCTATGATGCTTCTAATTGGTCTTTTAAAATATTTCTCATGATCATTTTGGAACAGAGGCCTGTGCAACAAAGGTATTATATAATAAACTTTCCGTATTTACCACTTCAGAAGGTGCTGTAAGGAAAGTGTGTCTTCATTTGGAGCAAAATCGTGATTTTCCTCAAATAGGTTCAGACTGCTTAAAGACTGGGACCATCTACAGAAATTTTTCTTAAAGAGACTCACTGAACATGGGAGCTGCTTATTTGTATAATTGTTAATATCTGTCTTTTCCTCCAGTGGGCTCTGTGAGGGAAGGCACCATATTAGTCTTGTTCACTTTGTATCTCTGCCCCCCAGCAGAGAATGTATTCATTTCCTGCATTTAATTATTTCTAGTTAAAAGAGACTAAATACATTCAAATGCATATGGCTGAGGATTTCTGACCCCTTTCCTTGGCACTCACTGGCTCAGGAACAGAAGGCTTCATTTGGTGTGTTTCTTTGGATTCAAGAGTCCAACCAAATCAGTTATTTTTTTATTGGAAACCCACTAAGTCTTGGAGAAAAAGGAGGAAAGACATGAACCATGCCCTCCCACTAGAATGTGTAGACAGGCTTATGTCTCAGCATGTGGAGATGGAAGGCTACCATCCATCTGTCCATCCATCCATCATGCAAATGGTGAGGAACTGTTTATGTACCATGTATTGCACTAGGTATAAATCCTGCCCTCAAGAAGCCCACTGTACACTAAGGGAGACAGACCTGTTACCAAATTTCAGTACATTGTAGTATGAGATGTGCAACAATAGAGCTAAGTACAGCAGAGGTAGCATAGAAACTAGCAGTCATGTGAGTAATTGGGTGTTTACAGGTAGGTGTTTCATGGTTAGTCTTCAGAGAATTGCAGTGCAGTAAAATACACTTACTACCAAATGGTGGTGAGTTTGGTTGAGTCTGTCAGTAAACCCTTTAGCTAGTTAGGTAGCTGACAGATGAAAGACATGAAAATTCTGCTTCTTTGGGTCCAGCTCTGAGGCATTGCAACTGATGTTGATTTCCATGGCTGGGCCAACAGCCCAGCCATTGGGGTGGGAGGTTGGCACCCATGTCCCTGACACTGTCTGAGTCACCCCAGCTGCTCTAGAGCTCAGCTTCAGGTCTCCACCTCCACTTGAGAGTGTGATTTTTTGGTAATGTTTCAGCTGTTTAATTAACTTGTTAATTCAGATCTCTTGTTTATGTACTTTGTCACTTTCCCCTTTCTCCTGAGTCCAGAATGGTTATAAGCTGGGATGTTTGAGTGTCCTGGTTGTTGTACTGTATTTTGGTTAAGTGGGAGTCCTGCTATTTGGTTCACCAATTTTGTGTTCCTTTTAGCAGCTGTGGAAGCCTTTGCCCTGACCCAGTGTCATTGAGAAGAAACACCCAGAGCTTGCAGTTTAATCAGACTCAGCTGCTCATATTAGTGGGAACAAAATTTGCTCTCAGGGTCAGAAACAGCTCATTAGTGGAACAAGGAGTTATTTGACTCCATTTGTTTTACAAGCTCCAGAGTGAATTGTTCCCGGGGCCTGTTATACTGATGGTGTGATACTGATGAACAGAAGAGTTGATGCAGATTGACCACATACCTGTCCAGTAAGATGGGATGGGAAAGGGATGGGTTAGAATGAGTGGAAGGGAGTGGACTTGGCTTTTTTCCTTCTCCATAGTCCCTTTGTCTTGCCTGAGGGTGTCAGTCCTGGGCAAGTTCACCATAGATTTGGTGAGACTGAGAAATGACAATGGAACGTTTGTTCTTGGCGTAAAAGGTTTATACCTGGCTTTATTCTCCCAGTGGCAGGTCGAGCACTAGAATCAAGTCTTCATCCAGCAGTCTCAGTCTGTAATCCACCTCTGTCTCTGCCTCCGCCCAGAGCACTGGGCAGAGCTCTTTATCTAGTGACTTGTTCAATAACAGCTCATTGCCTACATGTGTGGAAGCAGTAGCCTAGCAGGAGGCCAGTTACATCATCAAATAGGTTAGGGTCAGAGGATCCTGGCCATAGGAACTTCTATTCTCCCCACATTCTAGACCAGTGGTTCTCAGCCACTGGCAGTTTTGTCACCCAGGGAACATTTGCAATGTCTGGAGACATACTTGGTTGGCACAGCTGGGGGTGCTACTAGCATGTTGTTGGTGGAGGCCAAGGATGCCACCAAACATGCTACACTGCAAGGGTGTGCCCCCAGCGACAGTTAAGTGCCCAGCCTGGACTGAGAAATGCTGCCCAAGCCCGGCATCTCCAGTGGTAGGAGCGTGGCTAGGGCAGTTCCCATGGTATCAGGATAACTTTAGTTCGTCTGTATGGGAATCTGGGATGCAGTCACCACCCTCCCCCTTCAGAAGTCTGGTGCCTGCCTGCAGTGTTTGCGGTGGAAAAATACTTCTCTCTGTTAGTCAGAGGCACTTGGAAAGGGTCCAAGAGAACCTGTTCTAATCTGGGAAAACTGGCAAAGATACCTGTGTCTCAGGCTGGTGGAGCTGCATTTTAGAAACCTTTCCCAAGCTGCTTAATGTCCCTGATCATTGTTCTCAGGAACTTCATGGGACTCCTGGGTGACTTTATCCAGGCTCAGTGACCTGCAGCTGTCTCATCTGAGATTCATGGTTTCCTGGCCTGTGGTGCTTCCAGTAAGAGCTGGTTGGCAGATCTGGGTGCCTTATTAGTTTGGTGACCTTGGTTAAATAAGTTGCTTTACCTGTCTAGACTTCAATTTCCTCATCTCTCAAACAGGATATTAAAACCTGCCTGCATTCTTCATAGGGCTGCTATGAGGTTCAAATGAATGAATCTGTGTGAAAGATCCCAACTAATTGTAAAATGCTGTACATACGTAAGTGAGGGGTGCCTGAGGTTGGGATATGTGAGTGTATTAAGGAGTTAGCAGATGCTTCTAGAAAGACTTTTGTTTCAGCAGAGTCTGTGCAGAGCTTGAGACTTCCCATCTTCTTCCCTGAAAACTCATAAGCTGGCCAGGGATGTGATGCTCCATATCCAATTCTGATGGGCACACTTCCTAGTCTTTCACTTACATGCATCCAGCAAGTGGCTCTTTTATGTTATCAACAGTTTGATCTTCATGGCCTAATAGGTAATTTTCCTTATTAAAAATCTCTGATCATACTATTGTTCCTTCATGGTACACATCCCAATTTGCATTTGTATATATCTAGTTGTATTCTACTTTGTTTCACGTCTAGACTGTAATTTTCATGACAGCAGTGTCTGTTTTGTTCCTGGCTGTACCTCAGCACCTGGCACAGGCCTGGCACATAGATGTTAAGTGACTAACTGCTGAATAAATGAGTAAATGGCGAGGAAGAGAGAGAAACATGGGCTTTGAAGTCAGATAGGCCTAGGTTTGAATCTCATCTCTGTCAGCTTCCTGATTGTGTGGCTGTGGGCAGCTCCACCTCTCTCCATCTCCACTGTCACCACTGTAGTTCAGGTCACTGTCACCTCTTGCCTGGATCCTGCAGTGGTCTCTGATTGTTGTCCTTACCTTCCCACATGCACTCCCCTTTTCTCTCCAGTGTGCTCTCCATACCTCTGCTCGGAGGTCTTTTCAAACCCACTGTGTTACATTCCAAAGGCTTCCCATTGTTCTTTCAATAAAAACATAATCCTTAGTGGATACGAACATAATCCTGCAAGGCCCCTTGTGGTCTGCCTTCTGCCTGCCTTTCCAGTCCCATTTCTTACCATGTAGCTCTATCTCTAGCTGAGCTCTGCTTGAACTTTACTTGGTCCCTTCAATGCATCATGCATTTTCCACCATAGTGTATAGTGTATAGTATACAGTGCCTTTGCACCTGATGTTCCCTCTCTTTGGCACACTTATCCCTGCACTCCTCCTTCATTTTGACTAAGTTACATCCTTTTTTTTTTTTAGACCTCAACTTGGTCATCACTTCCTCAGGCTTTCCCTTGACATTCCTGACTAATCACTTTTCCTTTTTATCTGCTCTCATAGCAATACCACCTCTCCTTTGTGCTATTTTTTT